TAAAATTGTACCTGGGTTTGCTCCTTGACGGCATGCAACCACCTTGGGCATATGGTTATAAGAGTTCTGCCAATCTCCAAACTCCATAGCAAGAGCCTTTTGTTTAACGATCCAAGCTTTTCTGTATGACACAGAATATCCGATCGACCTTTAATATGCAATCAACTCTGATTGGAATGGATGGGTTTGTCCTGACTGAATTTGATATGATCGCGGCAATGTGATTACTATCAAGATTTGTATGATCTTCAGATAGTATTGTTGAGAAACACGTATGTTGTCCGTCTATATTTTTGATTTCCCAATATTTACGGACTTTGCCTATAAGCGGCCCTCAAACGCAAATGAAAAACCGTTGTTGATATTCCACACCCCGAATAACTAAAATGTTGGGCTTCGATTCCAACGAGGTGTATTTGTAACCGTTGGTTATGTGATAATGTTTGATTGCAGCAATAGTTTCGTCCTTGACTGGGAACTGCATACGTTCATTCAACTCTGCAACGACCATGTGCCGATGTGTGATGTGGTCGTCGTTGTTGTCATCTTCAAGTATGTTGTCTAATTCATCATCGGTGCTGAAGTCATCAACGGTTATCTAATATCAAAGGTTGTTCGTCGATGAATTGCGATGATGAAGATGCTGGAAAGGTTCCCTGATGCCATAATGTTATAGATGTTTGGGAGAATATGTTAGATTGGAGTAGAAGGAGAGCTCTTGGGCGTTCAGTTTGGATGCGAAGATGGTATTGTTAAAGATAGATATATATAGAAGTTGTCACTGTGAAAGGTTACTTTTGATAACTGGTAACTGGTTGTTACGGTCTGAAATAATAAGTACTGATAAGTGGGTGTTACGGTCTAAAATAGATGTACTGAACACAAATATAGCACTGTCAATATAGCACTGTCATGTCTTTTACATTGCATTTGCAGTTCGTATAAAGTCATTTGCAGTGTGGTCTTATATAAGGTTTTCATCACACGTTTTATTTATTACTTATAGATATTGAGAAAATAATTTGTTTTAATGATGTTAAGAAATAAATAATGTAGTATTTAGATGTATCAAAATAATATTTAGATGTATCAAAGTAATTAAAATCTGGAAAATTGTAGAAATAGGATTTAGAAATAAAAATGAAAAAAAGGGAAGTTGTGGGGAGGGGCACGGACTTCAATAGGTGAAGTCGTGTGACCCCTACACGACTTCAATGGTTGAAGTCTCTAAGGGGTGACAACTCTTAGTTGGTCATATATGAGATTGGAGGACTCTAATACGTGACGGTATTTGGTTGGACAATGTTAAAGTGAGATTGTATTGTGGTAATTTTACAGAGATATTGGATAAATTAATGCATGATGTATGGGAATGATGCACGTGTATTAGTTAACGTTGATATAGGGTGTATTGAAATTCTTGGACTGATTTAATTCCTAAGTGATGATACTTTCTTATGGTGACGTTGATTGCTAATGTAGACAATAAAAATGTGTCTATTTTAATTTGATGGAGTTTGTTGTGTATGATGAAAATAATGCATTTTGTAAAAATTTCATATCTCTTAGTATAAGAAAGGGAGTGAGTGTTGGTAACTATATAATGGATTATAAGTCTATGTTGTTTCTTTCCCCAAGTTTAAGACAACCTGAGCTAGTGTTTGACATTTCTTATAATTTTGTAGTAGAGTGTTGTTAGGTGTAACTAAATTCTTGTTCTAGAGATTGCAGGTATACTTAGGGTCAATGATCAAAGGCTTAAGCGTATTTGAACTTTCCATGTTATATTGTTTATGTATCCTTATTTATTTCTCTCTTAGTAGAATGATTCTCATGAATAAAATGTTAGGCCTTTTTTTTTAACAAATTTGATACCAACTAAAGAAAATATCCATTTATACTATAATTCAATACTTTTTTTTGTTATTAATGTGGATCCAAAAAAAATCTATATATTTAATTTACATTGTTAGTTTGAGTTCTCATTCTTTCCTTTTTTATTTCTTCTTATTTGACCTCATATATCTAGTCTTTGTGCTTTCCCCTTAAATAATAGGTACCAAAAAGATCGTTAAATGATCTTTATGTCCTTGTAAGTTCATCTCTGCTTATAAGTTTTCTAATCTTATAATAGTACATAAAGTTTCTTATTCGTTAAAAAAAATTACTATACCTCTATACGATCATAATCAATTTTTATACTTCATGTGTTAATATCGTGAGTACAAGGTAGCTTAGTAGATCTAGCTTAGGACATATGTCTATGTTATAGCTAAAAAATATTGTGTTCTAGCTAGGATTAACTTGGTGTCAAGTGGCATTACATACATTTTTCTCTATTGAAGACATCTTAAGTATCATATGCTACTTAAAGTCTTATTTAATAATGTCTTCAAGAGAAAGAAAATAAAAGATAAAATGATTAATTTTCCTAAACTAAAGTAAAATTATTCATAATAATTCCATCTTTAATGTAAGAATTTTGAGGCAACAAAATTAAGGTAAATCTGTGTCATTTTAAAAGAAATACAATGACTGATTTGCAGGAAATTGTATGATGGAGAAGGTTTCCATCACCTGTGAATGTGGTGAGATTTGGAGGGATGGAGGGTATAAACTCTCATTTGCCCTCTAGTTGTTTTATAATTCCACACATTGACATATTTGATTCTAACTAATAAAGAACCGATTACAAGTGCATTGGTAATACGAAAAACACATTGAGCTTACCATTGTGCATTATTCCATGTTTGAAGATGAAGAAGACGAAGAATAGTGGTTAAAGATGAAATTTTTTTGAGGTGTATTTGGTTCCAAGCTTAGGAAGAAAAACACATAAACATGTATTTAGTTCCCATTTCTCCTTTATCGGTTCCCCAATTTTCAGAATAGGTGTATTCAATTCTTGAGCATTGTATTCGGTTCCATGGCATTTTGGTGTGGATGTTGGATGTTGTATTCGGTTCCAAAGTGGGTGTAATTGGTTCCCTTGGAGCAGTTTGGGTTGCAAGCATCATGGTGGAGGCGCCATGATCTTTGACGAAGGTGGAGGTTGTAAGGTTCGTGGTGGACACTAACGAAGGTGAAGGATGCACCTAGCTTGGCGTTTTGGTGTTTGGTTCCAAGGTTGGTGGTGGAGGCGTTAACAAAAGAAAACTTAACAAAAGAGAAGAGAAGAAATGGGCAATTGACGCTTGGAGAAAACGAGTAACAGATGAAAGAGACATGGTAGCGACAAAATGGGAGAAGAATGTGATAACCCCAAACCGCAAAAGCCTAATACATCCATAGTTTTATGAATGTTTATAAAATAATAATTTTGGTAAAAATTGATCCAAACCACTAAAAAATGTATTTAAACCTACTGTACAAAACTTCTTGTACCCTACATTAGGTTATTTAACCTGTAAAACAATTCCTCCTGTCCCTGAGGCCTTGGCCCACCAACGATCACTACACTATTACAAGGGGGGGATGAGGGGAAAAGGAAGGGTAGAGAAGGAAGGGGTAAGTGGGCGGGGGGATAAACAGGGGGAGTCATAAATAGAACCAGTAACAAGTATCAGGGTATAGGACGGTATAACTAGAGATAGGGGTAGGAATCGGTAGGGGGAGCACATTGAAACAAAGAGAATGAGGGGGAAGAGTGATCAATCCTATACACGAAGGGTCAATGTCACGCACGCCAAAGCCACGAAAAAACAACAAAACAGTCATCCTCAAAATCAGCCACGCAATAGAAACAAAATTATTAGCAATAAAGTAACACCAATAAAATATTTAAATAAGAAAACTTTTATAAATTAACCTGAACATAAACTAATTTTAATCTATAAAAGAATTATGTCATCATCTTATTGTCATTATTCCGTCAACCAATTAAACTTTTGAGTCCCTTTGAAACTTCGAAGAATCACTTTTGTCTTTTGGTTAGCTGTTATTTTAACACGGGGTAATGGTTATGAAGTATGATAACTTTTGATTAGAAAAAAATGGTTTGCAAAAGCTACTTAAACATCGCGCTCGCGCGCGCGCACAACACACCACCACATATATTATAATATATATCAATCATTGGTCTTGCTCATACAGATAGAAAGGAAGAAAGTGAGAACAGAAAAATATAAGTTGGCGGCAAGAATGTCAGATTACAGTAAAGAACTCATTTTTTATTGCATTTAATTTCTTCAGTAAAAATACTATTGAATGGGCACATGTCTTAAGAAAAATTCATGATTATTTGAAGAAAACCATTCATCCCAGCAACAAAAACCAACCACCTATGAAATTGAAGCTGAATCTAAGTAACATATCTGCCTATATGGTATGAGGACTGAAGGAATCAAAAGCACAAAAGAAAATAATGGACAAAAATGTGGGAAAATCACACCCAAAGCAGCTGCCAACATCCCATTCAACAAAAGATGACCTTCATTTTTGACTTTTTACATTGAACGGATTTCCACTGGATCTGCATCAAAGCATGTGCAAGCAGTGTGTAAATAGACATATGGTAGAAAGAAAACTCATTTGTAAAATTATATATGCTGTCACCATTCCACTGAATAAGATCCTATTAATAAGATAATTATCTAGTTGAAATCTCACATCATTTTTTTCAGGGTTAGGGAAAGCCAGAAAAAAAAGTGAGCGTCTTCATTGACAAGAGGTGAATCTAGAATGTTGTCCAAAGGTTCCAAGCATCCAGCATGCTGCTTCAAGTAATTTTCCTGCACATGACATTTCACGAAATCAGTTTCGACAAAAAGAACCAAACCTTGGACAAACAGTTGCTTTATTTAGATTAGCATGTGAAAAGAGATGTGTATAAATAACTTACCCCCACAAAAACAAAAGAATCATTTGACTACAGAATTTACATTTTGATATGTTAAGGATGTAGGTCGAGCTCAGAGAGTCACAAGCATTATTTGCTTAAAAGGAAAGACATGAAAATATACATGGTCGTAGCACATGGCCATTGACTTGACTGGGAAGATGCAAAAGCTAGGCAAACCAATTTTGTGCATATTTCACATTTACTATTTGGTAGGCCTAAATCTTCATCAGCAACAGCTACGTTTTACTCTACTCTAAAATGTCACATCAAAGGCAACTCAGAAAACTCTAATACATTCACTAACCCCGCCACTGGGTTTCTCAACCCTTTTCTTATTTAAAGTCAAGACAAAAAAACCTTAATTTCTCCTAAAAAAATACTTCTGTTTCACCTTTAGGAAACTTCATCTCACACATGTAAATATCTAACGATAGAAGGCAAAAATAAAGAAGTTTGGCATGGTATGAACTGTAACAACAAGCAAATAATACAGTCCTCCCATCATAACGTGAAGTAGTTCCCATTCCCATTCCCTGCATTTGTCTAACAAGAATAATCAATTCCTCATTTATCATATCAAACAATTTGGGAGTGTTTGAAAAGTAGATTTTTAATAGAATTGATTTTGATATGACGTGATTTATTTATGGATGTTATCATTCTAATAACAAATTAGTAGTAAAACTCGGTTATTTTTATGCAACACCAAAGTTCCTTAAAGTTGCTTTAACTTCATATCCCAAAATTATATAATCAGTTACCTAAAATCATATTAGCTGGAATTAAACCATGATTCTAAATGATATCTAACGTGAATTGAATCATATTGGCTGGAACCAAACATGTAATCACAAACCCAACACGAAATGTCTAATTGAAGATATCCCAGACAAACATGTCTTCATTTAGTTTTCTACCCCAAAAGAAACCAACCTAATACAGAACAAATTTCAACTCTTCCAGTCCCACCTAGATCCCACAAGGCCAAAACTAAACCCAAATCATAACTTCAACAGGATTTTCCGAATTCAATTCTACAGCAAAAACTAAAAATAACAACGACGTGAGCCAATCAACGTAGTTAACCAAAAGCAGCCACACAATAAAAGACACTTTAAAAAGAAAAACAAAAAATAACGAAATCCAGACAGCCAAAGACATCGCTGTCACCTCTTCCCTTTTTCCTTTTCCCTAATCCACAGAAAAGCACAAGAAAAAAACAACATAGGCAACAGTGGACCGTACCTCTCCTGTGCTTGAAAACAACTTTTGCAGCGGGTTGACCCGAACGGGTAGTGGTTTTAACCCGCTCCTCCTCCTCCTCTTCCGTCGGAAACAAAACCCCGTCAATCCCCTGAACCGAGATCCGACCATCCGTGTAAATATCCGGGTCAAACAAATACGCCGACCCGTCCCCGTGCCCGAATTTAACGGACCCATCAGCCTCCTGCGCCACCACCTTATGCGGCAACCGCAGAGTATCGTAACGAACCTTCCCAAACCTTCGAACTGCATTGTACATGCTCTCTTCAGTCTGATACTCCGGTATAATGTGATAATACATTATCCGCTCCGGCGCACCCGGTTCACTCAACTGCTCCGTCGTTAACTTCGCCATGGCTTCGTCGTTCGGAGCCAAAACGGTGAGAATGTAACCCTCAGACACTAAACGACCCATTTCAACGGCCAACGACGTTAGATTCACGAGAATGTCCGCCATCTCGTTGTATCCACCATAGTGGAGGAGCGTGTGGATGAAATCCTTCACCTGCTTCTCGCCATTGAAGTGATGGTGCGGTCCACCTGGTCCCGGCGCCGGCGCCGGAGCCAGGGAAGGTCCCGGAGACATGGCGTCGTAGATCGGAAGTGCCGGCGGGGAGCCAGGTTTCGCCGGTGGGGGAGGCTTTTTGAGACGGTGGGTTCTCGGGTCGACCTCCGGGGCTCCCTCGGGCTTGACGGCAGAGATGGAACGGAGAGTGCGGCGGCGGTTGAAGTCGTCCTCGACGGAGCGGGGGAAGAGGAGGCGGTCGATGGCGTGTATGACGCCGTCGGGTCGGGTCAGGGCATCCGGGTGGGTAACGCGGGCCTGGTCGACGGTGGTGAGGTTTTCGGAGAGACGGATTTGGTGGTTGGAGAGAGTGGTGACGTGGCGGATTAGGGTTTGGGATCCGATTCGGCTGGGGACGATGTGAGAGAGGAGAAGCGTTTGGAGGGAGTGAAGGTTGGCGGGTTCGAGAAGGAAGCGCTTGAAATCAGAGTCGAGATTTCGGTCCAAAGCTTCGTTGGTCGGAGCGAAGATTGTTATGTTGCTTGCCGCCACGGTTTCCTCTAGTTTCTGCAACAGCATGGCTTTTTCCACAAGCTCTGCAAGTTCTGTGTAATGCGAGTCCAGAAGAGCAACTAAGATTGAGTTGGAGTTAATCTGAGCCGTCGGTGACGAGGGAGATGAGTCTCGCGACGTTATTGCCTGAGGAAAAACACAGAGAACGCAGACAACGGTGTAGAAGACACGGAGGTCGGAGACGCCATAGATGCGGCGACCCATGGCCGGAATGCGGTTGAGAGTAACCCAACCACCACTTCACCAGGAGCAGCAGCGACTGTACGATTCCTTTGTTGGTTTTCGGTCTGGTGGATAAATAATCCGAAGCATGATAACATGTACGCTAATCACAGAAACTGTGCCATGTTTGGGATGAGTTTAAAAGTGTTTAGTTCTTTAATCCGGTGGTTTTATTCTGATCGAACTCGTGACTTTTCTTTTTACGAAAATCAGTGAAATTGAGTTGGCGGCAGAATTTAGCGCATAGCAGATTAACGCAAGGGAATGTGTCGGTTGCATTGGGAAGCGGGTGAACACGTGGCGATTTTGTATTGGTTGGAAAGGAAGAATCGGACAGCATTAGAGTGGGGTCCACTGGCCAGCTGGAACATTGACATTAACCAGTGTTGTTGGAAAATTTGATGAGGAGAAAAAAAAGGTACTAGTTAAGTCATGGTGTGTTGGAGGGGGCAAGATATTTACGTACTAAAGAAGAAGAAGAAATTGTTAGAGTGTAGTTAATGTTGGTGGTGCCCACTTGGCATCCCATGCTATTGCTTTCTCTTGTGTAATCATTCCCTTATATGCTTATTTTCTCTAATAACCCACTTGCTCTTATTTACATTAATAATCTAGATAGACTTAATAAAATTAATATGATTAATTAAAGTTTTTCTGAATAAAGTTAATATGATTAATGAAAAATTAAATGAATAAATCAAGTTAGCAAAATCTTAAAATTACCATCTTGATTTATGTAATCTAGAATTATCTAGGAAAAATCTTATAAAGATATTATAAGTAATATTGTTCACCGTTTAATTTATTAAATACTATATTTATCATTTACTTACGCATATTTGACTTGAACGTCAAAATATTATCACAAGCATCCCGATTCTTAAATTAAAAAATGATTCTAGTGGACATGTGTAGTGTGTGTTTCAATTCCAAACATGACTTTAGAATAAGTTTAATATCATTGACTAATTCATTATCAATATTGACAGATAAGTTTATTGAATTTTATAGAAAAAAATACATAAAAAAGTACAATTAGAAAATTTTAGGTATTTTAAAATTGTACTAGATTAAGTGGAAAATTAATATTCGTGGATCCCAACCTCTTTTCTTTTTCTTTAAATGAAATAAACGAAGATGGTCTATTTTTTTTGTTTCTTCATTAATATTTTCACATTATTAGAGTATTTTCCTTTGTATTGAATGAATTCGTGTTGGGAGGAATAAACACTCGCCAACGTGAGTTTGACTCCATAATATTATTGTTTATTCATTTTAAAAGTTATACATAATACATATGTATTATATATTTAATGTGAATTGGCATATTCTTGAATAGCATAAAGAACATTTAAACAATAGTCATTTGCTAGTTTATTTGTCATAATGTTTATACTCGAATACTGAATTTTGCGAGGTTTAGAGCACTTTTGTTTCCACTAACACACGACAACATCTTTTGTTGTGTGGTGTGATCTGGCACGTGCACTATCCCAATTCTCACATTTCATCCAAAACTGTCGGTGCCACTATATTCTAAATTAATTTTAAAAGAGTAAATAAAAATAATTTCACAAATTATGGATATATCAAATAAAAAGTATGTTAAAATATCAGTCATTATCTTTAGTTACTTCATAACATGAAAAGTCTATAAGAGTATAGTCTATCCAATGGTTTAAAGAATATTTGTACAATATCTGTTAGTTGACTATTCTCGTATAATAAATTTAATGAATTTTATGAAAATGATTAAATTTATATTTATTTATTTTCAGCTAATAATATTAAAAAAATTAAACTCCTTTCACATAACCATTTGTTAAAAATTATTTGTCCTTTCTAACTTCAGACTTGACCGAATGGGTGTTACGCCTTAAAATATACAATGAGCAACATGGATTCTCCAAAATGCCCTTGCACTACAAAGTTATTATAATTATAAATGATCCTCCAAGTTTCTCCATATTCTTTCGATATTCATCAGTCAGCCTATTTTAGTAATATATATATATATATATAAATTAAACTCCTTTCACATAACCATTTGTTAAAAATTATTTGTCCTTTCTAACTTCAGACTTGACCGAATGGGTGTTACGCCTTAAAATATACAATGAGCAACATGGATTCTCCAAAATGCCCTTGCACTACAAAGTTATTATAATTATAAATGATCCTCCAAGTTTCTCCATATTCTTTCGATATTCATCAGTCAGCCTATTTTAGTAATATATATATATATATATATATATATATATATATATATATATATATATATATATATATGTATATATAATT